AATCGTTGTATTTATTGTGTGTGGTACATGTGTGCATGAATGTGTGTGTTCGTGCATGCACATATGGAGGCCAGACGTTGACAGTGTCTTCCTCAACCCCTCTCCACCTTATTTATATTTCCATTTATTTTATTTCTGTGTGGCTGTGTGGACACACATGGCAGAAGGACAAGCCCCTGTTTGTCTCTCTGTGTTCATTTGTTCTCTTCTTGTGGGTCCCAGGAATCAAACTCGGGTATCAGGTTTGGCAGCAGGCGCCTTTCCCCATCTCACTGTAATGCCAGCTTATCCGAGAAAGGGTCTCCCACTGAACCGGGGTTCATCAGGCCGATGGACGGCCAGTCGCCCCCCGGGCCCTGCCTGTCTCGGCCCCTGGGACCTGCCTGTCTGCACACGGATGCCGAGAGCACTGGAGATAGAGATGCCACCCCTGCCCCTGCCTTGCATGTGAGCGCTGAAAATCCAAGCCCAGGCCGTCATGCACAGAAAACACTTTACTCACTACCCCCTAAGGCACCAAGAGACAGGTTTTATTATTTTATTTTGAAACACTTCAAGACAGGGTTTTTCTGTGTAGCCGTGGCTGTCCTGGAGCAGGCTGGTCTCGAACTCAGAGATTCACCTGTCTCTGCCTCCTGAGTGTTGGGATTGAAGGTGAATGCCACCACCGTCCAGCAGAGACAGGTTTTAGATACTGTTAAAACAGTCCATGTTCCTGGCTTAATCTCCCCGATGTCACCCCACTGCCTGCAAGCTGGACCCTCTGCCCACTACTGTGCCTGCCCCCCGCCTTGTGAGAAAAATCTGATGATTCCTTTTCCAAGGTGCCTTGAGTCAACTGAGGCCCAGTGCAAACTGACCAGAAAATGCTGGTCCTCTGCTAATGCCTGCTAGTCCACATGCCCCTATCCAAACTCTGCTAAGCTACCCACCCCTGTCCACACTAGAAGTTTAGAACAGAAAATTACTCACAGCCAAGCTTGCCTGCACACATCTGATAAGCCTTAAAATAAACAGGGTATAAAACAGATGAAACCATGCAAAGTTTTTGCTGAGAAAAAGACAAATGTGAAGGAGAGGGTCAGATTAAACCTCGATGGTCTGTGAGACTGTGCCCTCCTGATTATTCACAAACGCACTAGGGGTTATAAATGCTAACTGCACTCACGAGGCAAGCCTGCCAGTCCGGGCTGATGCCTTGCAAGATCGTTAAATAAATTGATTTGCTTTTGCTCGGCTGAGTCTCCGGTACTCTTATTATGAAGTGAGCATCTTTGTTTTTCACATATGCCCATGCTTTGGCTGCTCCAGCCTGTTGGACGGTCCATGGGTGAGGAGAACTGTCATGTGGCTCACATGGTCCCTCCTCCTGAAGACAACCCCTGCCTGCCTTCTGCAGAGACATCCAGCTGAAGGGTCAAGCTGAGGCTGGACATCCCTCAAGCAGGGTCGCTGGGGCCTAGCATCCCCGCTTGCCTCACTCATCCCTGCATGGGGTGACATGGGTTCCCCACAAGGACTCACGCTGCTCGTGTGCTGGGCCCCAGGCCTCTTCTCTGGGGGCCCAGCTCCCAGCTCGGTTCAGAAATGGCTGAATGAATGCACGAATCAATGAAAGAACTAATGAAGGGCCAGAGCTCACTGGCTCCTTTGGTGCCATTTTCAGGTCAAACCTTATAAGACACTAACATAGAAAACCAGTTTTATTCATTTCCAGCGGGTTATCTCTGTGTCTTCCCACAGGGGCCCTCCACATAGCCAGATCCCAAGTTTCTCTTTCAGGATTAGGACGGGTTACTTTTGGTCCCTCAAGCTACCTCTTTATAGTCACCCCCCTCCCCCCAGCCAAGGTGTGGCTCTATTCTTTACGAGTGGGGAAGGCCCTAAGGTCAGGGTTCCACAGGCTGACTTTGAGACTGAAGTTGAGTCCCAGTTCCAGCGTTGATCCTGGGCAAGTTAGCCCCCGGGCCTCAGTTTCCCCATCTGTCTAAAAGTACATCTGCCCTTGCCTGCCTAGGTGCCGCGAAGCTAGAAGGAACTCAGGGAGATGGCTCACTCTGGCTTCAGGACCAAAATGCCAACCTGCAGAAGAGTGTCGGCTGAAGCAGGGCCGGCAGAGGCTGAAGGCACTGATCCTCTCTCCGGGCCTCCCACTCTCCAGCCACTAGGAGCCTGGGGCGCTAGAAGGATACCACGTGCGTCCCATGTGGTCAACTGGGGGCTGCTGGTGAGCTGAGCAACATGCTCCAGCGGCCTGAGATCTCAGCAGTTCTGCCTTGGGCAGCAGATGGACGGTGGTAAATGTGTGTACTTTGTTTTCTATCCACGGGGGCTAAACTCCTCTGCTCGGCATTTGAGCCACACATTTATCTGTCTCTAAAAACATCGACAAGATTGGGACCTTCAGGCCTGCCCTGGAGCCAAGGAGCGTATTTCCTCTGTGTGGTCCCATAGGCAGGCCTAAAAAGATGGAGGCAGACTCGCCTCATCTTTGTTAGAAGCTGTCTAACATGGAAGTGAGCTCCTTGTCATTGGAGGTGCCCAGGTAAAGGCTGAGAGCCTTGAAAAGAGGAAAGGTAATTCCGAGTTAGAGAGAGTGGGAGGCTGTCACTGGATGACGTCAGAGGTTCCTTCCTGCCTGTGTGGTCTAGGGTTCGATGCTCTGGCGGAAGGTCCCGATGCCCGCTTCCATGCTGTGGAGGGAGGTCCACTCAGGGTCCAGGACAGATGTACTCATCTGACCAGTCAGCACAGTGCTGTACGCGGTCCCGGCACAGGACCCTTGGGATGCAGCTGCAGTACCTGAAGACAGTGGGAGTGCAGGGCCACCATCCCGGGCCACAAGGTGGGCACACAGTCACTGGGGAGACAAGCGGAGGAAGAAGTCCTGGGCTCTCCACACACTAGGGCACTCTCCAGCCCTGCACCATACCATAGCTCCTGTAGCCTTAGGCTATCTACTGCGGGGTGAGTATGTTCCCGGTTTCCCTGCAGCAGAGAGACTTGAACGCCATAACTCACAGGCTGTGTGACCTGCTCACCCTGTCTAAGCCTCAGGTTCCATCTGCTCAGTTGCTGAGTAAAAGGAACTAGGCAGAGCTCAGACATTAATGGGTGTGTAGAAACTGCTTTACCCAGTTCAGCTTCCTGCTTCATTCTGACTCCCGCCATAGCTGTCCCTTGGATGCCCTGGGGTGCCTCACCCTTCTGTCCCCTGCCCGGTGCCCATGGCTCCAGCATTCCTCTTTACCCACCATCCCTGACTGTTGGCCCCTGTTCTCAGCAGCCTGTTCTGGAGAAGCCTTTTCTGAGAAGTCCGTGGATTCCTCCAGGCCCAGCACTTCCTCTTGGCACCCACATGATGCAGCCGTGGAGATGTGTCTGGCTCCTGAGCATCCCCTTCCAGAATCTGGCACAGGCCTCCCTCAACAGTGCTCAGACCATGTTTGTTGATTTAACACTGGGGATAGAATGTGTGTGCATGTGTGCGCGCACACACGTATACACACAGATGGATGCATGCTCATGTATATGTGTGTTTGTATGGAGGCTTAAGGTCTGCAGTGTCTTTCTCAATTGTTCCTCAGCTTTTGTCTCTTGAGACGGAGTCTCAAGCTGGCCTTTAACTGTTCAGCTATGTAGCTAAAGATGGCCTTGCCCTCTGCTCCTCCTGCCTCCACTCTGAGTATTGGGACTATAGGAATGTACCAGCATGCCTCACTTCTGTGGTGCTGGGCGTCAGCCCAGGGCTTCATGCACACTAGGCAGGCATTCTACCAACTGAGCTGTATCTTCAGCACCATACCTTAAAAGTTTTAAATTCCATTCAGTTATTGTGTGTGTGCTTGCGTACCTGACATGGTGTGCATGTGGCGTGTGGAAGTCAGAGAGCCTGTGGTCACTTCTCCCCTTCTAGCGTGTGGATCCCAGGGATGGAATTTGGGCCCCCATGCTGTGCAGCAAGCCCTGAGCACCTCCCCAGTGCTGGGGAGAGGGCTTAAGGAGGTCTAAAGCAGGTCTCTGGACTGCACATTCCCTTCCTGCCACGTCTGTTCCCTTCTTGACGCTTGAGATTGCCCACATATGAATTGGGGTCTCAAGTCCCGTCCTGCCCTCCTCACAGGTTGCTGGAAGGTGCCCAGGACAGAAGGCTCAGACCCAGAAAGGTAGGGCAGTGGCTTCGCTCAGTCCCCCTCAGTGCCCTGGTGCCCAGTCAACACCCTGGAGACAAGTCCCCTCCACAGGAGAGCCTCTCATACCCAGCACCTCTACCCAGAGGTGTTCAAGTGGGAATGGAAAACTCCTTCCCGGGATGCAGGGAAAGCATGCAGGAGACTCAGCGTTCTGCTCAGCCTCTTTCCCTGATCACGCCTAGCTGCCTGTTCCCGCCCACCCGTGCCCAGACCCCGCCCACCCGTGCCCAGACCCCGCCCACTGTGCCCAGACCCCGCCCACCTGTGCCCAGACCCTACCTGGGCTCAGTTCATCCGAGCAGTCCCCACAGTTGTTGGTGCCATCACATTTCTGGTCCGAGTAGATCCAGGAGGCTGGGTCTCCACAGTGGGCCAGGAGGAAACTGGGGAGGCTCTGGGGCACATCTCCTAGAGAGGGACACATGGGGCAGGACGAAGTTCCCCTCGGACCACAGTACCTCAGCCACCTGCGGCTCGATCACTGTGTCCAACCTGGCAGTCAGTGCACTCAGGGTCTCCCCATCTGCTCTGGAAAGGGCACAGGAAGTCTCCCGGGAGGAGGTCAGGTCAAGGAGTGGAGTGTTCTTGCTCTGGGTACCTCTTGTTGGGTGGCGAGAGGCTGGAAGAGCATCTGCACTCGCTACCCAGCCCTTGTGTGTCCCCACCCTTAGTCTCTGTCTGTCCCCACCCTCAGTCTCGTGTCTGTCCGGGCTCCTCTAGCACATCCCCACCCTCAGCATTGCATGTGCCGTCTCTGCGGAAGTCCTCCTCGCCACCCCTGCCTTCACCGCCTTCATCCACGGTCAAGTTCTTTCCGGCCAGGAAGCCTCCTCTCGTCAGGACACAGCAGGCAGAACCCAGATTCCTTACACTTAGGCCCCAGAGTTCCAAAGTAGCTCCCAGGTCAGGTGGTCGTGTACAGGGTGACCCAAATCCACACAAACCCAGGCCAGCCTTTCGTAGTGAACTCCCCGTCCTAGAAGCATTTAAGCGGAGGCTGGGTGGTCTCTGTTGCACTTGCTGGAGCAGCACTTGGGATAGGAGCTGGAGGGTGGGCCAGCTGACCTTTTTGTTGCTATTGAGCCAGGGTCTCATGTAGCCCAGGCTGGCCTGAAACTCGCAGTGTAGCCAGGGATGACCTTGAACGCCTGATCCTCCTGTATCCACCTTCCAAGTGATGAGATTACGGTGTGCACCGCCACTCTTGGATTTGGGCTAAATGATTCTTTAGACTCCCAACCTCCGCCTCCAGCTCAGAGCTCTCGCCTCCTGCAAGTCTCCCCGGAGTTCATTCATGCTGTCACGTTAGTTCTACACAGCCAGGCTCCTCTGTCCTAAATGCAGGTGTTTCCAGGCCTTCTGATCCATTCATTCACGTGTTCATTCATTCATTCATTCATTCAGCAAGTCATTCTGGCTACCCTTGTCCCAGCTACTGGAACTCCAGGATCAAGCAGACTGGAACAGACTGCCACAGAGGCCTTCGTAGCCTAATGGGGTGGCAGATGTGAGGCCAGCGTGACTGGGGCCAAGACACAGGGAGGCAAGGGTCTGTAGGAGCCTAAAGAAGGACTGTTGGCCTCCAGCAGGAGGAGTCAGGGAAGGCTTCCAGGAGGAGGCAGTTTGTGAACTCTGCCTTGAAGGATGGCCATAGAGGCTGAGGAGTGGCGCTCCCTCAGTGTACAGCGGAAGGTCCTGGCTAGGGCATCATGTCACTGTGGGCATGGGGGCGTGGAGGCAGTGCCTAAGAATGTTCCACAGAGCTGAGCTGCAGGGAGAGTTAAGGTGGTTGTGGGTGAAGGAACAGGGACACGGATCTGAGGGGTACTCACGGCACAAGCTCTCCTCCTCATCTTCACCATGGGCACAGGTGCGGATGCCATCACACACCCTGTGGGCCGGGATGCACTGCCTTCGGTCATGGCATAAGAAGCCCGTCCTGTTGGTCATTGTCACACAGAACCGGGTCTCTGTAGGGGCAAGAGAGGCCCTAGAGTGGAGGTGGTGCTCATCCAGGCAGCCTTGAGATGGGCAAGGTGGACACTGCACAGGGTCCCCCAGGGAGCCCCTCTGAGCTCCTGGAGGGCCTGGGGCAGCGGGGAGACCCTAAACTCCATGGCATCTGTGGAGTTGAAGCTGCCACTCTGCCGTTTCCATATCATGGCAGGTACAGGTGATCCTGCCCCTCAAGCCTAGGTCCTTTGTCTACAAAATAGAGGTCAGAGCCTAGCCCCAGGGGTGTGTGGAATGTGGGGGACAACATGATCATTCTAGACACCGTGGATCACAGGGTGTGCAGAGTGCCTCCCTGGTTTGCTCACACAGGAAGCATTGAGGTCAGTGTGCCATCATCCACATGGCTTTAATGATGGATCTCCTGGAACCAGTTTAGCTTGTTGCAAATTGTATATTTGTGCTATCTGGGGACAGAATGTCACAATCCCTTCCAACTGGGCATACCTCAAGAGTCTGCCAACTTCCATGTTTTTATTGTTCCCCCAAGTACTCCTGAGAAGTGGAGTATGCTTAAACCCTCCCAGAGGAGGAAAGACACTCACCCCTAGGGGTAGCCCCAAGATTTAAAGGAGAAACTAAGAAGATGGAAGTCGCAGACTGTGCCTGTGGGTACACGTGTGGATGGGGGAGGGGAAGCAGCAGGTCCGTCAGTGCATTTGTGCCAGTATGAGTCATGTCTCAATCCCAGAGCTACCTCAGCTAGTCATAGGAGACACCCTTAGGGACACACACTGTCGCAGATGCAGACAGGAAAATGAACACATTCACATGGACACAGCTACACCTTCCTGCACATGCATGAAGACAACAGATGCACACACAGACATGTTGTGCACATATACTGACACACATGTACACAGATAGACTGACATGCACACTAATGTGCACATAGGCAGGCAGGCGTCTGCACACATATGGGTATTGTGGAATATTAGTTGAAGATGTAGTATAGTTGTTTATGCTGTGGAATATTTGTTTAATGATGCAAAGACGTATTGCATTCTTTCATGTTGCATTTGTTTAACTCTGTAAGCTGTGTTACTTTGGCTGTCTAAAACACCTGATTGGTCTAATAAAGAGCTGAACGGCCAATAGCAAGGCAGGAGAGAGGGATAGATGGGGCTGCCGGGCAGGGAGAATAAATAGGAGAAGGAAGAAGAGGAAGGGTGAGAAAAGAAGGAGAGAGGACGCCAGGGGCCATTCACCCAGCCACACAACCAGCTATGGAGTAAGAAGGAAAGAAAGGAATATAGAACAGAGGAAGGTAAAAGCCCAGAGGCAAAAGGTAGACTGGATAATTGAAGAAAATCTGGCTAGAAACAAGCCAAGCTAATGCCAGGCATTCATAAGTAAGAATAAGTCTCTGTGTATTTATTTGGTAGTTGGAGGTGGGCCTCCAAAGAGTAAAGAGTGTGAAAAACAAAAACAAAAACAAAACAAAGCCCAATAACATATGCGCATTCACACACACACATGAACACAAGCAGGCAGACATCTGCATGCACACTCACACTCACACACACATGCACACAGGCAGACAGGCAGGCACCTGCACACATACAGACACTCGCACATACATGCACAGTCAAGCATCTGCATGCACACAGGCACTGACACACATGCACACACTCTTGCACACACAGGCCCATGGCTGCAGCTCCCCCTCCTGCTCTGGCAGGGGGAATGCTGTGATTTCACCCTTCCCGTGGCCCTGCCTGGCCATGGAGCCATCTCTCAGAAAGTGAGGAAGAAGGATGGGACAGTCCCTTCCCTCAGCTCCAGGAACATGGCCACCCTCCCAAGTGCAGCTTTTAAGGTCCGGGGCACCTGACCCGACGCACTCACATCCACTGTCTTCTTTCCATCTTTCCTTCTCCGTATGCTTCCCACCTCAGGACTTCCACACAGGCTGTTCCCTATGCCTGCGGTGCTGTTCCTGACACTCTCTTCCAACCAATCTCCACTTTCCCTTCCCACCTCAGGTCTCTTTCACTCCCAAGATGCTTCCCACCCTGACTCCCACCACTGATTGGATGAGAGCCTTCGTTCGGACCCCTGACCCCCCATTAGGCCTGCCCTTGGGTGTTTATTCGATCAAGCCCAGATGGCTCTCTCAACTGCTCCCTAAGGGTGGGGGCTGCATTGGGTGGTTCACCGCTGCAGCCAGACCACAGGAAAGCTCTGAACACAACCTGGTCTGGTGTGGTTGAGACCACCACCCAGGGTGGTCAGATGAGGGGACTAGGAAGCGCATTGACTGTGGGACTGAGGAAGCTCCTAGCCCAGCTCAGGGGTCAGAGAGAGTTTCTTAGAGGAAGTAACAGCAAAACCAGGACCTCTCAGTAGTGCAAGCTGGGGCTGGAGAGATGGCTCAGTGCTTAAGAGCACTGGCTGCTCTTCCAGAGGTCCTGGGTTCAATTCCCAGCACCCACCTGGAGGCTCACAACCATCTGTTAACTACAGTTCCAGGGGGTCTGACATCATCTTCCGTCCTCCCTGGCCCCCAGGCACACATGTGGTGTACAGACATATATGCATGCAAAACACTCATATACAGAAAACTAAATTTTAAAAAATAAAAGAAAAAAATTTAAAACGATTCATGTCGAGGGTGTGTGCAAGGCCTCTCCCCGACTTGTGTCCATACATGCACAGGTGTCTGTGTTTGCACCTTAAGGAACCTCAAGACACTAGAGGGGGAAGCTGGGCTGGGCTCCGTTTCCCAGCTCCCTGAGCCTCCATGCCTCCCTCTCGCCACCCTGACCTGGGGTGCGGGGCGGACGTCCGAGGACAGTGGCCACGACAAGCAAGACGGCGAGCCCGGCCAGCAGTAGCAGCAGGGAGGCCGAGAGGCAGGCCCCACGGCGGGAGCAGCAGCAGGGGCCGCAGCCTGTGGAGGGAAGACAGTGAAGAGGTACAGGGACACCCCCCCAGGGTCCCCCCCCAGCCCTGCAGGCACCCCTCCCCCGTCAGGGAGCCTTAGGGCTAGAAGAAGCTCTCCTAAGCCCGCCGCCGTGACACTCTCTGGTCCTGCCTGTCCTCCCCATCACCAAGCGCCGCTGCTGGCTAGCCTCTGCCCCCAGAGGTTGTCTCCCCGTCTGTCCTTCCTAGTCTATCCTCATGACCAGGGGAATAGGACAGTAGACGTCTGTGTACCCAGTCTGTACCATGAAAGAAATGGCCACAGGTTCATCACAGCTGTCATCTCCATTTTTCACAAAAGTCCTTTATTTCTCTGGATGACAGACTGGTCCCGGTTACCCTGGACTGGGCTGAGGCACGATACCTGTTTGATGCCCAAACCCAGACCTTTCCCTCCATTCCAACCTAAAATCTGTTCCAGTGCCCTCCAGAATGTTGCCCGGAGTCCAGTTCCATCAGCCCCTAGCTGGAACACACACAGTGAGAACTTCACTTTTCCGTGCCTCAGTGGTGCCGTGATGGGGGTTGGTTTGTTGAATGTTTATTCTAAAACAGCAGGTGCTGTTGGGAGTTAAGTATTGACTGTGCATCCGCCATGTGTCAAGCTCTCACCGGGGCACTGTGGAAACAGCAGTGATGGGAGTAGCTGGCAGATGTCCCCGTCCTCTAGAATTGTGCTCGGCTCTCCTAATTCTTTGTTGTTGTTGTTGTTTTGTTTTGTTTTTCAAGACGGGGTCTCACTGTGTATCTCTGGTCTAGAACTCACTATATAGACCAGGCTGGCTTCAAACTCACAGAGATCCGCCTGCCTTCACCTCCCAAGTGCTGGAATTACTGGCATGCACCACTATGCCTGGCTTGACCCCCTAATGCTTACTTGCTTGCAAAATGAAGCAAAGCAGCTTTATGAAGGAGCTCCTGGGTGCCTTGCTCTGTGGAAGGCATGAAAATAGCTTTCCTTGGCCTCGGAGAGTTGGCAGCTGCAGCTGGAGAACCAGACATTGTAGGGAGCAGGGTGGAGACTTGGTCCCCTGTGCCAGGTCACAGAGGGGCAGCAGCAGGTTTGATTCATCCCTGTGGCCTCTGGTCAGGCTCTAAGGCAGGGGCATAGCTCTCACTGGTGCTGGGTGTGCGTGTGCGTGTGCGTGTGTGTGTGTGCGCGCGCGCGCGCACGCGCGCGCAAACCAAAGACGCAGAAGACAAGGGGAGGCTCCTGATTTGGGTCATTTAATTCACACCACTCACGTTTCCAGTCACCTGCCAGCAAGTCCTGAGCTGGTAGTGTCAAACGAAAGGATGGCTGAGGAAGTGTGAACAGGGCTCTGACGAGCTTCGCGTGATACAGGGGCCTCAGGAAAACCAGCTGATTCATAGGTCGGGGCAGGGCAGAGAGAGACCTCCAAGAGCAGGCTTTCTGGGCAGAGGGTGTGGGAGGAGAGGCCTGAGGGGTGGCTAGCGAGGATGAAGGCATGGGGGGTGTAGGTCAGCAGAGGTGACAACACACTGACAGGAAGCACACGGACAGCTAAACCTATCATCCCACAGCCCTAGTTGGCGGCTCCTTTGCGGTCAGCAAACACAGGGTAAACTTGGGTCACCAGGGAGACTGTGTTGAACCTGGGCGGGAGAGACTTCTGGACAGCCAAGTGGCTGCTCCTCAAATATTTGTGCAGTATACGCGGCGTGCGAGGTGGGGTCACAGGCAAGACTAGACTCCCAGGCAGAGCCAGGTGGAGATGCCCACTTGAAATCCAGACACTCCTTAGCTGCTGCCCACCCGGGACAAAGGAAGAAAAGCCACATCTCCAACTTGGAAATAGCCATCAGCACGGAGCAAGGCAGGCCCCGAGGCTTAGCACCCTCCTTACAATGCTATGTTACCTTGACCCGATCACCTAACTTCTCTTAGCCTCTAGTACCCAACTCACCCAGGGCTGTCCTGAAAGCAAGGTCTACTACTCCACGCATCCGAGGCAGATCCTCCACAGCTATTCTTTTCCTCCTTGCTCAACTGAGGGCCAAGATGGGGCCCAGGGAGACATTCAGTATGTAGGTACACCTTCCTTACCTCATGAAGGTCCCAGCCACACAAGAGTGGGGGGAAATATAATAGGTACAAGTGTGTGGCCCTAACCCACTCTATCTTAAGATCAACAGAACTGCCCAGATCAGGCCTGGGGTCCAGAGGTTGATTGAGAGGTCCTTGGTGTCACAGGTTCAGTGCGGTGGTCTGGCAGGTAAAAGGCACAATGTAGCCATCAGAAAATGCTGGGTGCTGGAGAGAATGAACAGCTCTATCCAGCAAGTGGCTGTCTGTCTGGCTAGGCAGGAAGCTGGGAGCAGACACCACTGTCTACATTGGGGCCGAGGGGCCCTGGTAGTAGCCTTGGACTTTCTGTGCCCAGCTTCAGGTAGTTCCTGGGGACGCACCCACAGCACCCAGCCTGACTTGCACCTCCCTTCTTACCTTCCCCTCCAGGGCGGGCTCGCTTTCCAGCAGCAGCGTGGCTCTCGGAATCTCCCTGCCCAAGAGACCAGAAGCAGACTGGGCAAACCGCTGGTCCCTCACAGCCCAGACTCATCTGCGGGCTTCACACTTCCACACCTCACCAGTGTGGTGGGTGGCTTCTACCCAGGGTCTACTCCTTTGCCCTTCACATGGACTCAGGCAGGTCTTCCCAGTGACAGTGCCCTAACGCCCCTGAGCTTCTGTCTGCCTATTAGCACTCTTGGCTCCCACTTGGAGTGAGTCCCCAGGGCAGATGAATGTAACCCGAGGTCCCAGGGCACCCCCTAGAGCCCTTTGCACCCCAAGGTTAGCCCCCTAGGTCAGGAACCAGTTCAGGCTCCGGCAGCTTTTACCTGGGGGAAGATCTTGTTCATGGCTCCAACACTCATGTTCCGGAACTGGGGTAGAGTAAAGAGAGCTCAGTGTAGGTCCTCTGCCTTGTCACCAAGGGCAGCTTGGGGGAGGGAGGGACAGAAAAAGGCTTTGCCAAGACTGTTCCCTCCCCTGTGACACTCCCATCCCAGGCTGCCTCCCCAGCGGCGGCGGCAAAGGAAAGGGTACCCTCTCCTACCAAGCCTTTCCCTAGGTTGGAATCTTCACATTCCACAGGTGACAAGCTGGTGTTTCTGAAAGAAAGTGCTTTGTGCCTTAAGTCACACTGGGAGTGGAGAGATGAGCCAGGGCCTTAAGTACGTTTTTCACCTCTGCATCAACAGACTGTGGGGTGGCGAGGCCCCAGTGGCAGGAGCCATGGGCAGAAGTGCCATGAGTCTTGACAGAGTTCCTTTTCTCACTGATGATCTGTTCAATAAGTAGTTGAGGCCAGGCGGTGGTGGTGCACACCTGTAATCCCAGCACTCAGGAGGCAGAGGCAGGCGGATCTCTGTGAGTTTGAGGCCAGCCTGGTCTACAGAGCTAGTCCAGGACAGGCTCCAAAGCTACAGAGAAACCTTGTCTCGAAAAATAAAAAAAAAAAAAGTAGTTGATCTAGAGCAGAAGAATATGCATTTCTGACAGCCAGCAGGATGGTGTGGCGGGTAAAGGTGCCTGCCATGCATTCCTGATGACCTTAGTTTAAGTCCCAGAGTGAATGTGAGGGTCCAAGGAGAGAATTGCCCCCACAAAGTTGTCCTGACCTCCACACATGCTGCACACCCACCCACCACGCACACACGCACACATTAATAAATAAAAAAGAGAAAGAGCATTCCCTTCTCACTAAAGCTAAAGTGTAAACAGATTCTTGAACTGCTAAAAACATGGAGATATGCATTTTTTAACCTTTTGGATGTTCATGACTGGGTAGAAGCCAGCTGCTTTCCAGACCATCTTCCATCCCAGCAGGAAGCAGATTCCTTAGCAATCTAGTCCGCAGAGGGAGACTGAGGCCCTGGAAGAAGGGACTGCTCTGAGGCCCACCCAAAAGGTGGTACCCACCTCCAGGCGCCCAGGAGTTCCCATCAGGGATTACCCTGCTGGGTCATCTCTCTTGCAGTGGGAAATCAATGCCAAAGCAGGAGGGCAGAGACCACAGGGAGCCAGGAGGCTGGGGAAGCTAAGCATGGGTTCTCACCAGGGCCTTGCCAATTCTTGGGAAGTCCCTTGCCTTCACACCCATGAAGATGCAGGGGTGCTCAAAGAGTGTAGTTCCTCAGAGTTGGGCCTTCGGACAAGAGCAGGGGACAGTGGGTTTCCAAGGGAAGGAGCCCGGACATGCTGGTGTAGAGGGGAGTGAGGTGAAAGGGAGGCTCCACGCACTGTTAGGGGCCAGCACCTGGACTCTGTGGGGCATGTGGGGACCCTGGTGACGATGCATCTCTAAGGCACTCACCCGAGGGAACTGGGGCACTTAGCCCATCCTGCCAGCCACTGACTGAAGCTGTTGCCAACTGTCTATCCCTAGCTCCCCTGGCCTGTGGTCGGCAAAGGGAGGCCAATGGCAGTTGGAAGCCACGCTGATAAGCCACGAAAGGGAAAAGGCTGGAGGGACGGACATAAACAAAAGATACTACCTAGATTTATTTTCCTCTGCCAACTATGGTCAACTAGTAGAGGCTATGTGGAACATCAAAAGGGTGTTGAGGTCAGGGTCTATGATTGATTAGTACTGTCGGCCATGGATGTCCAAGTGGAGAGTAGAGTACATTCCTGGACCAACACATGCCCTATCGTCTCTCTCTGGCTTCCACGGACTCTTGATTCTTCAGTGTCCCTTTTCATCCATCCATCCATCCATCCATCCATTCATTGCTGTTCGTTTGTGTAGTATAGCCCAGGATGGTTTCGAATTCCTGGGTATCCTCCTGCCTCAGCCTCCCAAGGACTGCGAAGACAGGCATGCTCTCACACCAGCTTTGGTGTTCCTTTATAGGAACACTGCTCATGTTGTTCAATGCTTCTTCCTTTGGACTCCTTCTTCATTCAGTGCAGGTGTGGCCATATCAGGCTGTCTCTCCTGGGCTCTGCTGTGACCGGGAACCCTCGAAGGAAGGGCAGCAGGGTCCTACACACCATTTCAGTATACACGCACGTACGCATGCCCCTAGAGTGCCACCTTGGACGCTGTCAAGCTGCTCTTCAAGATGCTGCGCCAGTCTGCGCTGGGCAAACAGTGTATGAGACCCTTTCCTCAGCCCTTGAAGTCCCCAGGCCTTCCACCATCTGCCGATCTGGTTCATGGGACATGGTGACGGTTTTATTCACTATCCTCCTCCTGCTCCAACGTTACCAGCTCCTCAGCACTCACTTCCGCCATCTGCTGTGCAGCACGCCTTCTGTAAGTTAACCCATCCTGTCTTCTCCAGCATATCTCCATCCACGTTTCAGATGGGGAAACTGAGGTCTAGAAGCATTATGCTACTTGCCCAAGGCTCTCCTCTGAAAGGGCAGAGCTAGGATTGCAACCCACGGCCCATCTCACTTCAGCCCACAGACCAGAGCCTCCTGGTCCTTCTCTCCACTCTTGGGCCTTGTAAACACGCACTGTCACCAGGGCTTTCTTCTCTGGTGGACAGCTTGTTCATGCAGGCTACTCACTTTTCAATAAGTGCATTTTTTTCCTATTGACTTATGGGCCTCTCTGTTTTGTGGGAATATACATTTACTGGGGCTCCAACACACATAACCACAGCCTCACTTGACAAGGGCACAGCTACTCAGGCTATAAAAGGCAGACTCTGGCACAGCCGCAGCCCAGAGCCAGGGGAGTGCAGTCTTGTGGCAGGTAGGCCCTCTTCCCACAGGTGAGGTGCAGGCTGTTGGGATGGGCTGGCTGCCAGCCTGGAATGTGACTCAAGCAGGTGAGTCCAAAAGGGCCGGGGCGAGCAGGTTGTCTCAGTTATCTGGTCCCAAGGAACAGCTCATCCACGGCCAGGGAAACCATGAAAGCTGAACCCTAGGCCCAGTTCACAGTCATCGGAGAAATACTTGAAGACCTCCACATTGTTGTTACTGGCCTCTGGGTGGTCAGGAGGTTAACATGGATATCCATGCTGCTGTAGAGGTAGGGTAGGGGCCAGTGTAGCGTTAGTAGATGGACGATCTTGAAGTTCTGTAACGTGATGATCCATCAGAACCTCTGTGAATCTGCTGGTCCTATGGCCACAGGGCAGCTACTGCACTGGCTATGGATCCCATGGCCCTACTTCCCTCCCTTATATGTGTGTGTGTGTGTGTGTGTGCGCGTGCGTGTGTGTGTGTGTGCGCGCGCGCGCGCGCGCCAGATGTGTGTAGAGGCCAGAAAACAGCTAATATCCCCTGGAGTTATAGGTTGCCATGAGACGCTTGACATGGGTGCTGGGAACTGAATGTCCTCTGCAAGAGCGCCAAGTGCTCTTAACCAATGAACCATCACTCCAGCCCCTTTGTCCTTTCTTTTTAAAAAATTATTTATTTATGTGTGTGTATGAGTGTTTTGTCTGTATATATGTTTGCTTGTATACCATCTGTGTGCCTGGTGCCTGCAAAGGCCAGAAGAGGGTTCTTTTTCTGGAGGTGGGAGACTCACCTTGAACTCATGGTGATCCACCTGCCTCAGCTCCCTTATCGTGGAGTAACAGATATGAGTCACCAAGCCTGATCTGAACAGCCTGTCATGGGCTGTAAACCTCTCTGCTACCCTATGCCTTGGTCTCTTGTTTGAGGGATTCTGCAGTTCCCTTTTAAAACCTGTCTTCCTGCCCGGGCCAGGTAGTCTCCCTCCCTGAAACCTTTAGCATGTCTCCCTCTGGTCTTTCTTTTCCTTGCATTCCTTAGCTTCTGCCCACATCTTAGCTTGCTGAAGCCAGGAGAGACCCACTGGACATGGGCGCCTGGCTTGTATCGGACCGACCTGGCTTTCCTTCTGAATAACAAGTTACTATCTAAGAGGCAGGCTGCAATCGCTCCAAGCCTCAGCTGTCAACTGGAAGAATGGGGTAAGAACAAGAGTTGTGGGCAGGATGGAGTAAGTTCACCCTCTGTGGGTTCTGAGTGTCTTGATCTGGTCCCAGTCACAGAGAGACATTCTTGAGAGCTGGGGCTTAGCACTGGAAGCTTCTACACTAAACAGACACCCCAATTACAGAGGCCGGGGCTGGAGAGAGCTGCATCTTGCTGTCTGGGAAAAGTGGCCCAATCCCTACCTCAGCATTCACTGCTCCCCCAGGAGGCCTTCCACTGCCCCGGGACTGCAGAAGTCCATCTACCCCGAAACCACACAGTCAAGTATAAGATGGAGGGCGTCATCCATCTGCTTTCCTTCCAGGGATGTTAGGATTCCTTGGCCACCAGACAGCTCAGCTGGGAGGGTGCTATACTGAAGACCGATCTTGCAAGTAGACGCATGACTGCTATAAAGGCCGTCAACAAACGAACCCTCCCGTGAATTACCTAATTAGATGCTTGCTTAATTCAGATGTTGCAAATTAAAGTCCATACACCTGAGCATTCTGAACTCAAGCGGCATGGTGCTCTGGGAAGAGGGACACGGTGCACCTCAGGAAGCATCGCCAAGAGCTTTGGTTTCAGCCTTTCCTTTCCGATCGGTCGCTGACTCCTTTCTACCCCCGTCCTCAATTACTGCCAACCCTGCGAACACCAGGTACAGAAAGCGCACACAGAAGCAGTAAGTTGATCCAATCACCTGAACTGAGCAAACAGACACAACTCACTCTTGACATGTCAAAGAAAACTCAGACAACCCCTTAACCAGGGGTTAGGTGAACTTGTTGGGGAAAAAGTTAACTCATTGTTCACTAGATTTTAACTGGAGAACAGCAGACCTGTGACCTCATCAACAGTAGAGCCCACATCACTAAGATGTGTTAAACATCTTTTACACAATCCTTTGAGATCACACAAGTGTTAAAACTACCTTTGGATATTATTTTGTGTGAGTGGAAGTATATACATTACTACATCAAAGTTTTGAAAATATTTTGATAAGCATTTAATTTTAAGTTTCTCTGTAATCTTACCTCTTTAGTTTTATGCATTTGAAAAGGTAATTCTGAGAGGGGTTTCCATAGACTTCATAAGATCTCCAAAAAAGAGCCGGGTGGTGGTGGCGCACGCCTTTAATCCCAGCACTCGGAAGGCAGAGCCAGGCGGATCTTTGTGAGTTCGAGGCCAGCCTGGGCTACAGAGCGAGAACCAGGAAAGGCCCAAAGCTACACAGCGAAACCCTGTCTCAGAGAAAAAAAAAAAAAAAAAAAATCTCCAAAAAGGTCTGTGGCACAGAAAAAGGTTGAGAATCCCTGTTCTAGGGGACTGGGCAGATGGCTCAGTAGGTAATGTGCATGAGGCCCTGAGTTTGGATCCCCAGCACCTACATAAAAAGTAGGGTGTGGTGCCACAGGCCTGGAATTCCAGTGCTGGGAGACAAAGAGGGATTTCAGGGGCTGGGTCAGCTGGTTTAGCCAAACTGCTGTGCTCCCATT